GGAACAAACGAAAAGTAACCTCCAGGGGGCCTTTGCTCCTTACTGCACTTTGAACCATGCAGTTGGATACCTGAGTCCCAATAGTCTCCAGGACTCGCTTTGGCAACTTGTATGTGCGGATCACCGACGGGATATGCCCCTCGGTGGACTGGCTCGAGCTGCCAGGCGCGGGCTGACCAGCTGCGCCTTCTCTGCCCCCTTAGCCTCTGCGTGGCATTCCCCAGCCCCGCAAAGTGGAGGTGCGAACTCAGTCTCAGGGCGGATCTGGTGCTATAGTTGCAGCGCCGAGAAAGCCGTCCTGCCCACCCTCCGGGAGCTGTCCCCAGACCACCCCGCCCTTATCCCCGCCAGCCCGGTTGACTTGAGCGGAAGGAAGCCTGAACTAGGCTGGAGCCCTCCCGGGCCCAGGGTGTGCTCTGGCAGTCCAGTGCACCCGTGGGAGAGTCACTGCCCGCCTGTGACACAAGGCGGCGCTCCGAGATCAGGATTGCATCCTTGGCAGGTTCTCAGCTCCGAAATGCTTGCAGACGCCAGCATGGGGAAAGCGCGCAGAGAAGGCGCAAAAAGAACTCACACTTGGACTTGCATTATGCCCGAGCTTCTGACCTTAACAGCAGCACCATCTAGGTCACTAACGTTCACTGTCAGCTGTGGGCAATTTTTCTATTTTCTTAAAACACAGAGGGACAGATCTTTCATCCGTTGATTGACTCCTCAGATGACTATGAAAGCCAGGGCCTAGTGCACTGGAGGCCAGGACCCAGGAGCTTCACCCTGGTCTCATGTGCGTGCAGGGACTCCAAACACTTGACCCATCTTTTGCTTTCCCAGATGCATTAGCAGGGAGCAGCTGGATTGGAAGAGGAGCAGTCAGGGTGCAAAACCCAGGGCTGGGCCAGGCTAGAGCCAGGAGGCAGAAATTCTGTCGGGGTCTCCCATGCAGCTCCCCAGGCAATCAGCAGGGAACAGGATCCCCCACCCACCTTTTTTTTTTTTTAAAGTAAGAGTTAGAGAGGAAGATACACATACAGATTGATTTTCTCTCTGCTAGTTCACCCCCAAAATGACTGGGCCTGTATCAGGCTGAGGCCAGGAGCCTGGAATTCCATCCAGGTCTCCCACACCGGTGGTAGGTTCCCCAGGCTTTGGACCATCCTGTCTGCTTTACCAGGTGCACTGGCAGGGAGTTGGATGGGAAGCAGAGCAGCCGCTGCACCACAGTGGCCAGCCCCTGGCACCTGTTTTTCAACAATCCTTAGATGATTCTGTGGTTTGACTACCCTTGCAAAGCAGCCTGTTGATCACTGGTTGGTAAAGCTGGGGCCCAGAGAGGAACTGTGACTTGCTGGGTGCCAAGTGCCGAGGAAGCAGGTGTGCCACGTGTGCTGGTTTCCGGTCCAGCCAGAGTCCATCCGAGACTGCTGTTGGACCAGATCTGACTGCCACACAGACAGGACTTGGGGAGCTCTGGGGTGCACCTCCCAGGGTCCCCTCTTCACTTCACTGGCCTTGGTTTTAGTTGGCTGTTGGCCAGCGCTCTTTCTCCATCACCATGTACCATTGAGAGAAATGATCACCCTTTCGTGTAATGCAGCTATGTTGGGGGAGGTGTAGCTAAGACAAATGTCTGCTAGATTTTCCCATCCCATCATCCCTGCCAGTGCACACATGTCCAAACCCTGTCTGTGGCTCACATAGGCCTTCATGTGATGGATACTGGAAAGCTCCTACTGTGTGCTAGCTGTGGTGTGGCCTCACCTGCGGCTGGAGTAGTACCCAGCCAAAAGCCAGGGGATCCCAGCCTCCTCTGCCCTTCTGAAGTCAACCTCGGAAAGGACTGATGGAGATGATTTGTAAAACAGCTGATTTAGGGATTGGACCGAGCGAGTGTCAGAATCCATTGCCTTGGAGAAGCTGCCCAACTCTCTACCTTTACGTTATAGACTAAATGATCTGAACCTCAGGAATCCTGTACTCCGGGATGTCCCCCTGTGCTTCATGAGCACTTTGCCCTGCCCTGGCTCCCTTTGCCCCCACCCAGGCTTCTTCCTCACTGTGTCTATCTCAGACCCAGGCTCACATCCTTGCCTTAGTGAGATCCAACTTCCTTGTGCTTGCAGGACTTAACGGGTCTTCTAAAGCATTCGAGTACCAGGGTACTTCAACAAATTCATAGAAAATGGAACTTAAAGCTGAGTTTATTTTAGTGCAAGCTGCAAACTTTTTATTTATTTTTTTTAATCCATGCAATCTCTTCTTAACACACATTTTCCTTGACCTTTTTTATAGTACCTTTGCCTGCTCTTGGGTTGCTGAAGCTTTTTGATTCCATGTCCTTAACATCCCTGGTATTCTGGGCCCTCATCTCAAGGCAGGCTTCAGCACACATTGACTGGTTGGCTGTGGGATTAAGGAGAGGGGAGACGAAGGCCGAGGCGAGGATTCGCCAGGCTGGGCTAAGCTACTGTATCTGCCAGCAAATGCTGAGATAAGGGCAGGCCATGCCAGACTGGACTGCAGCACCCACCAGCACATGCAGGACCCAGGGCTGGAAGTGAGCCTGCTGTGGGGAACTCCCCTGCTAGGCTGCAGCTCATGCTGGTGAGCACAAGAGCCAGTGCTGGGGATGGGCCAGGCTGGACAAGGCAGCAGCACCCATCAGCTTATGAGTGAGCTGGGTCTGGGGCGGGCTGGGCTGAGCTAAGCCGCAGCACCCATGGGTGGGCAAAAGAGCCAGATGGGAAGTGAGACAGCATGGGCTAAGCTGCATCAAATGCTAGCATATGCAAAAACTGAAGCTTGGGGCAGTTCTGGTAGGGGTTGCTGGGGGTTGCCACTTGATCTGTTTGAGGCCTGGGTCTGTGATGGGCTGGGCTGATGGGCTCACCCATCACTCATCAGAGAGATGAGGCAAGAGCAGAACTGACCAGGCAGCTGTACCCACTGGTATATGCATTGGCTGGCGCAGGTGACAGACTGAACCTGACCCTGTAGTAGCTGCCACACCTAAGAGATAGTCAAGTCTGAGGTCACCCAAGGCCAGGTTTCTTGAGAAGACTCCTCAGCTAGATCGCTGGACTGACATCCCACCCACACGAAAATCACAAGATAGTCCAACCTTGGATAGTATGTATGAGGACTGGGCAACTTCTCAGTTGCTAATGGCTATGCAACAGACAGCATGTCCAGATGCATGGAGGGGCCATGAAAGCCAGTTCATCTAGGCCAGTAGGGACTTCAAGTGCCTCATCAGAGGATGGAAAGTAGGAAGCAGTTGGACAACCTTCCTGGTCAAGCTTTGCAGCAAGTGCCTGAACTGTGGATGTACTGAGATGGACTTGATCAGACAATAGACCTTGGGAAGATTTTTTCAACCCTGGTGCAACAGAGCTGACAACATCTCAGATCTATCAAAACCACTCATGTAATACTCTCAGAACATTCTTCCCCATATTGGGGTCTCTAAGGTGCCCTAAAATGACCATCCTATCCCTGGGTGCTGATGATAGCAAGGAGTGGTTGCCTACTCTCGCTCCCTGCCAGCTGACCAGGTGAATAAAAAGGAAAGAACTGAAATATATGTCCCACCCACCTTCCTCCATACTTTGACCCTCTCCTCCCTAATCTGAGGCCCACATGGGCATGTATCCCTCTCAATTATGTAAATAATATTGAAAATAAAATTATAAATGAAAAATTTTGAAAAGGGAGGGGAGATGCCTCTGAGCCTGCTGGTTTGCAGAAGAGGAACAAAGAGGAAGAGCAAGACAATTTGTGTTAGAGCAGCAGGGCAGGCAGGAGAGCATGTGGCTGCCAGATGGGCAGATGCTGTGCAGAGTCGGGAAGCACAAAGCCTCAAGGGAGCTGTGAGGATGTCAGCGTGGAGTGAACCTGCGGCTGGGGGAGACTGTCCAGACAGCTCCTTGGGATGACAAGCATACCAAGGAAGCCAGCATGTGGCAGGCGTCTGAGGAGACTGACAGAGGCCAGGGGTGGGTCAAAGTGTGGTGTCCTAAAGGGACAGTTGCAGTCTGCTACTGCAAGAAAGCGAAGACCCCCAGGCATGCATCCCACCCACCCATGTCCCTGCTTAGCCCTTCCTATCTCCTCAGGAGTCTGCTGCCTGGCAGCTGGCATGCCAACATGCAAAAAGCCACAGTTGCCCTCTGGGGCCTTTGTGTTGTTAGAACCCGGGGCTTGGCTGGCCTTCCCTATGGCAGGGTCTCCTTGACACAGCACTGGGCAGCGGGTGGGGCAAGGACACAAAGACGCCACTGTTTCCCAAACCCCCATCAACACCTTGTACCTGCTCCTTCTGGCTGCCTCAGCTCCTGTCCCCACACTTCTGTGAAGGATAGACGCACGGGGAGAGAAACGGAAGCAGGCAACTGTCTTATGAGAGCAGGATGCGGCAAGAGTGAGGGGCTGATGGAGAGTAACTGACAGAAAACACCACAGCTGGAGCAGGCTCTTTATTCTGCAGACCCCTGGTGGGGCTGCATTCCGGGGACTTTTTTTTTTTTTTCTTAAGGCCAAGTTAATACACACAGAGAAGATCTTCCATTTGCTGATTCTCTTCCAATATTGCCCCAGTGGCCGGAACTGAGCCGATTCAAAACTGGGCACCAGGTCTTCCATATGAGTACAGGGGCCCAAGCACTTGGGCCATCTTCTGTTGCTTTCCCAGGCCATAAACAGGGAGCTGGATCAGAAATGGAGCAGTCAGGCCTCCAGCCAGTGCTCAAATAGGATGCTGGCACTGCAGGTGAAGGATTAGCCTGTTTGCTACCCTGACTGCCCCTTTCCAGGGGCTTTGTAAGCAGGAGAGGAATCAGAACGGTGGCCTTATGAGGACTCAGATTTGGGGAGGGGATGTTAAAGGTGGAACAGGCTTGACCACCCCCTCCCCTGCCCTGGGGCCACACCCCTTTTGCCTTACATCAGAAAATACAAAGCTTCCAGCCTCAGCTTGCCAGCACCCATGCAACCACCTAGGACTCCTAGGGCCCCAGACCCTCGATGGACACAGTGACTCGCACAGAACCACAGCTTGACCTCAAGTCCCACTCCTGACTGGCATTGTATGCCAGCCCTGGGGAGCCCTGCCTGGGGGACAGCTGCACCTGCAGCCAGCGGCAGTGGTCCTTGTCACAGGCTAGCACTACGGTGCCCTCGGGGTTGCTGTAAGTGCACCTGCTCTGCACATCCTTTCCCTCCATAGTCAGATCCCAGCCACCCCTTGGATCTCTGTCATCCTGCCCTGGAGCCAGGAACCTCCAGCGGTCCCAGAGGACGGGGCACACCAGCTGCTCCTCTTTCAGGGTAGGCACTATCTGGCCTCGGAGATAGGCAGGGCCTGCACAGTAAGTGTGGATGTTGAAGAACTGGTAGCTGTACTGACGCAGCCACTGGAAGAGGTAAGCCAGGTGGCAGTCGCACTGCCATGGGTTACCATCCAGGGCCAAATGGAAAAGGTTGTAGCTGGTGTCGAAGATGCCCTTTGGAAGGGTGGTCAGTTGGTTCTTGGAGAGGCTGAGCAGCTCCATATTAGACAGGTTCTGGAAGAGGGCCGGGTGCAAGGTTGTTAAGTTATTGCTGTCCAGATAGAGCTTGCCCAGCTTCTGCAAATCCCTGAAGATGCTAGCGGGAAGGTGGGTGATGACGTTGTGGGACAGCTTGAGGAAAGTGAGGCTCGACAGGTTAGCAAAGGTGTCTTCCGCAAGAGCATCCAGTTGGTTGTGGGACAGGAACAGGCTGTCCAGGTGTGGGGTGTGGGCAAAGAGGCCAGGGGGCAGCGTCCGCAGGGTATTGTATTGCAGGTCCAGGAAGGTCAGGTTGACCTGGGCGGAGAAGAGGGCTGGTGGCAGGTGCCTGAGAGCGTTGTGCTGCAACAACAGTGTCTCCAGTCTGAAGAGCCGTGAGAACATGGCCGGGGCCAGCTCAGAGATGGCATTGCCGTCCAGGAAGAGCTCCTGCAGGTTGTCCAGGCCATCAAACAAAGCTGGTGGCAGATGCGAGAGGGCATTGTTGCTCAGCCTCAGGCTTCTCAGGCTGACCAGCGGATGGAACAGCCCCTTGGGGAGCCGCATCAGCAGGTTCTGGCCCAGGTTGAGACTCTTCAAGTGTCTCAGTGGCTGGAAGAGCCTCTCGGGTAGGGTCTGCAGCTGGTTGCCCTCTAGTTGCAAGACCTCCAGGGCACTCATGTGGCAGAAGAGGTCATCAGGCAGGGCCTTCAGCTTGTTGAAGCTGAAGGTGAACTTGCCCAGTGAGCCCAGGTGGGAGAACATGCGGGCACTGAGGCTGGAGAAGGCACTGCCGGTGATCTCCAGGTCTTCCAACTTGGACAGCCCCCCGAAGGTCTCCGGCTCCAAGTGATGCAGCTGTGTGTTGAGGAAGACCACCTTGGTCAGGCTGGGGCTGGCACTGAAGGTCCTGGTGCCCAGCGTAGTGAATGCTGACTCCACAAAGACAATATTAGTGACATACGGTGGGATGTCTGGCGGAATGGCAGCCAGTTTTGTGTCTGAGCAGAACATCTCATGGCTGAAACAGTCACAGCCCACAGGGCAGGGCTGGGCAGGCCTGGCAAGGAGTAGGAGGAGCAAGGCCCAATGTAGACAGGCTCCCAGGAGTATCTGCTGGATCCCAGGAGGGAGAGAAAGCAGACCATGTCATGGCTTAGCCCTCTACGTTGCAAAAGTAAGTGAACTACATCCCCAGCTCAAAAAGCTAACAAAAGAAACAGTAATGCAAAAGGCCACACAAGAAAGAAAATAATAAAGATGAGAGGAAATAATAAGGTAGAGATACCAGATTCACAAGAGCAGCAGAGAGGATTGAGGAACCCACTGTGAAGTGGCCCCTTCCACCACCCCAGGTCTCCAGCATCTCGAGCTCAGCTTATCCCACCACCAGAACCACCCATGGGGGATGATGGATCAGGCCTGGATTCTCTTTCATTCCCCACTAGCCCACCACCTCCACCCTGTGACCCAATCTGCTTCCTTCTGCCAGAGACAGCCAAGCAGGGGTCACTTGCAATGCATACTGCTACCACCCCATCCAGGACAAGTAAGTTTTATCTTGTGAGAGAGGTGGCTGATAAAGGTACTGGGACAAGTAGATGAATGTCCCTTTTGCCCCATGGCTGACTTAAGGCAATGTAAACCAAAGTTAAGAGAGGTTTGTGGAAAGCCTTACCAAACTCAGAGGAATTCAGGCCCTAACACTGACCTCCAAATTGGCCTGGGGGAACCTACAGATTCTCCAAGTCAGTTGTTGCACCCCTCAAGAAAAGCAGTCTATCTGGACCCAGTGAAATCCAAGTCTGTGCAAACTTCCTGGAGGTTCAGCTGCCCGGCCATTAAGCTATGGGAGCCCAGGAGTCCCACAGACACACCCTAATTGGAGCTATCCGAAGTATCAGGAAGATTCAGAACCCTGCAACAATGTGGTAACCTGCTTGGCAGCTGAAATGAAAAAGTATATGATCCTGGGTAGCCTAGTGGCTGAAGTCCTCACCTCACACACGCAAAGATTCCATATAGACACTGGCTCGTGTCCCAGCTGCTCCACTTCCCACCCAGTTCCCTGTCTGTGTCCTGGGAAAGCAGTAGAGGATGGCCCAAAACCTTGGGACTCTGTACCTGTGTGGGAGACCTGGAAGAAGCTCCTAGCTCCTGGCTTCAGATTGGCTCAGTTCTGACCTTTGCAGCCACTTGAGGAGTTCTGCCCTCAAGCCAGCCCTCTACCCCCAAGTGATAGGTACTTAAAAGGATATACTAACACAGACTACCACTCCTACACCAAAGGACATGTTTACTCAGTACACATTTCATCAGTCAGCCCTAGATATCAAGAGAAAATAGAAATTAGTCACAACCTGCATTCGGTCACCTTAGGGCCAACCCAGAGGAACAGCAACCATGCACAAGAAGCCTAAGACAGGATGTTTCAGGAATGGAAATCATGGTGTTGGCACAGGGAATGCCCCAACCATAAACGCCAGCCCGGGCCCTGCCCCCAATGTAAACACCAGGGTTCCTGGAAAGTGGGTGGTCCTGGGCTTTGAAGGGAGAGGAGGACTCCTATCCCCCAGGCCCTTAGCTGAGTTTGGAGGGGGCCCAGGAGTTTAGGCAGCTGTCACAACCCCTGTGATTGTCACTCCTGGAGTCCCAAGGGACTCTGGTGTCTCGGGTAAGAATCTCAGTATTCTACTGCTATGGGATCTGCTTGCAATGTTCTAAATTTCCAAGTGAGACCCCTGTCCTCAGACTTGATCATTACCAGAATTGACGGCAAGTCCCACCGCTGACAATACACTTGACTTTTAGCTTGCCGGTCAGAAAATGTCCTCACCTCCCATCAGGTTGTGGTGATGCCAGCATATCTGACCCATTTACTCAGTGGGGATTTGCAATCCTCCCTGACCACCTGTCCCTGTTTAACCACCCCTACATCTAAACATTTCATCATCATGCTAAAGAGTACAAGGAGGACAAGACCCAACTTGCATGATCTTCCTGTTGATACCCGAAAGCAAGTAGAGCTTCGGGTCTGGGGTCAGGCAAACCTGGGTAGACTATGTACAGTGTCTCCATCTGTCCTCCTGAGTGACAAGGCAGAGCTTCCTCACCAACGCCAACACCACTGAAAGCCAAAAGGCAGCCAGGGACTCCAACCTTTGGTTGATGAATTTCTCAATTATAGAATCCTGGTTTCATGTCACTCCTTCTGCAATACCTCTATTCTACCAGTTTTGGAACCACATAGAATGCATAGGGTGGTCAGGATCCAGAGTCATGAATGAGGCTATCATTCCACTTCATCCTACTGTATCAAACCCCTATACTATCCCAGCCAAGATCCCTAAAGGCAAGTCTTGGTTCACAGTCCTGGACCTGCAAAATGCCTTCTTCTATACACCCTTATACTTGACTCCTAGTATCTGTTTATCTTTGAGAAGAATGATCTGTCATGAAATATGACTCAAATGCACAAGCTGGACAGTTCTGCCTCAATGCCTTTCTGATATTCCTCATTATCTTGGACAGCTTCCATTAAAAATGGCCTGTTCTGCAATATCCTCACCCACAATCTTTCTCAGAAGGACTCAGATGAAAATGCCATTTAAGTCTTAGACTTTTTTTAGGGAGAGAAGGATTTGAAGTTGTCCCAACTGAAACCCAGACCTCTGAACAAGAGGTGGCTTACCTAGCATAAATGCTGGCCTAAGAAATCACACACTCTTATTTAAATGAAAGGAATGTACATTATGTGTAAGCCCATTACAGTAAAAAAAAAAAAAACAACATTAATGGGCATGGTAGGCTTTTGCAGGATCTGGATTCCAGGGTTTGGGTTGTCAGCCAAATCCCTAGATGAGGCCTTAAAGGGTCCTGATACTGATTCACTTGAATGCACAGGAAAGCAACCTGAGGCTTTTCAAAGGGTGAAGGGTAGTGTTTTTTTTTTCTTTGCTTGTTTGTTTTGCTTTTTTTTGTTGTTGCTGGGTTTTTTTTAATCATGTCCCCTGCTCAAGGGACTCCTAACCTAGAAAAAATCCTTCATCCTGTATATAGTTAAAAGTCAAAAGAATGTCCCTGTGTGTACCCACCCCAAAACTGAGCCCATTCCTGCCACAAGGGCCTAATTTTCTAAAAAGCTGGACTCAGTGGCCACAGGATGGCCCGGATACTTGAGAGCTGAGAGCAGCTGCTGCTACTACAATTTGGGGAGAGGAAATCAGGCCAATCTCTTATGTTCAAACTCCACATCAGGTTCAAGGGGTTCTAAGATCAAAGGAGACCAATGGCCAACAAGAGAAGGCCTACTCAAATGCCAGGTTCTCCTTTAAGATGAGCCATACTAGGGCCCGGCGCAGTGGCGCAGTGGTTAAGGTCCTCGCCTTGCACGCCCAGGATCCCATATGGGCGCCGGTTCTATCCCGGCAGCCCCGCTTCCCTTCCAGCTCCCTGCCTGTGGCCCAGGAAAGCAGTCGAGGATGGCCCAAGGCTTTGGGACCCTGCACCCGCGTGGGAGACCCTGAAGAGGCTCCTGGCTTCAGATCGGCATAGCATCGGCCATTGCGCTCACTTGGGGAGTGAATCAAGGGACGGAGGATCTTCCTCTCTGTCTCTCCTCTCTGTATATCCACCTTTCCAATAAAAAAAATAATAAAAATAAATCTTTAAAAAAATAAAATAAAATAAAAGGTGAGCCATACTAACTCTCAAAGTCTGCTGAGTTCTCAATCCATCAGAAATACTCAAAAGCCGGCTCACTGTGGAAGACATGATCTACAGAGTGAATCTCTGGAGATCCCAGTTACTGAATGGTCCTTGATGACAGTAGTTTCAGGGAAAGGGTTAGAAAATCAGAAATTGCCATGAGAGATCTTAATGAAGTTAAGGAGGCACAGGAATTACCACCCAACACCTCAGCTCAAGGGGCTGAGTACGTAGCCTTGTCTACTGACTTAACACTGGAGAAAGGCCCTGGAGTCAACATCTAAACAGATTCCATGTGTGCTTTCCTCATGTTACATACACATGAGGCAGAGAGCTTACTGATGGAAACAAACAAACAAAAAAACAACAACTCTCCAATTAAAAACAGCTTACAGTGGGGTTTGGTGTGGTGTTCAACAAGTTATCATATCTGTAGACAGTTCTATATAGGCCTGGATTCATGTCCCCGCTCCTCTACTTCTGACCCAGAGCTCTCTATTGCCTGAGGAAGCAGTGAGGGATGGTCCAGGTTCCTTGGGATCCTGCACCTACATAGAGGACTCAGAAGAAGATCCTGGTTTCAGATCAGTTCAACTGTGCTGTGGCAGCCATGTAAAGAGTAAACCAGCTGATGGAAGATCTTTCTCTTTCCTTCTCTTTGTAAGCCTGCCTTTCCAATAGAAACAAATAAAATATTTTCTTGAAAAAAAAAATTCTGGGTCCCTGTGCAGTAGCATAGTGGCTAATGTCCTCACTTTGCAACTGCCAGGATCCCCTATGGGCACTGGTTTGTGTCCTGGTCACCCCACTTCCCATCTAGCTCCCTGTTTGTGGCCTGGGAAAGCAGTTGAGGACAGCCCAAAGCCCAAAGCCCTGGGACCCTGCACCCACATGGGAGACCTGGAAGAGGCTCCCGGCTTCAGATTGGCTCAGCTCTGGCCATTGCAGTCACTTGGGGATTGAACCAGTGGATAGAATATCTTTCCCTCTGTCTCTCCTCCTCTCTGTATGTCTAACTTTCCAATAAAAATAAATCTTTTAAAAAAATCTGTTAAAAAAGTGGCCAAGAGATATTGCTCCTCCTCCAAGCAGCTTTGGAGCCTCTGAAAGTGGCTGTTTTTCATTACAAGGACGTCAAAAGCAGAAGAGCCCTATGGTCGAGGGAAGGATGCCAGCAGAGACAGTGGCAAGGAAGGCTGTCCCTCAGGGAGTCCAGGCAATGGCTCCAGCATCCTAGCCCCCAGACACCTGGAGATCCTGCTCCAATGCCTGAGGCCGACGGTCCCACACCTCATTTTTGACAGTCTCTCTGCTGCCCTCTGTCGACTGCTTCCTCCATCTGAAAATCTGCTTCCTGCTCTCCATGCTACAAAACAGTGCAAGAGTCATGTCATATCTTCCCAGGCTTTGTTCCAAGACCCCTAGTGGATATGTGAAACCATGAGTAGGAACAAATATCAATACCACAGTTCACTTTTCCACTAATTCTTCTTAGCATATGCAAACAGCCACCATCATTACTCACGCATTGTGGGACTACTGTTACACCAAATAGGGGTTACTTACACACAAGCACTAAAATATTGTGATGTTGTCTGCGTTGAGGCAGGTCCTAATCAACTGACAGGTGGAGAGTGCCTAGCACCCAGACACGCTGCAGGGGCATGAGTCACAGCCAGACAGCATGAGGTTTCTTTAAGCTAGTCAGAATAGCAAGTAATTTAAAACCTATAAGTGACTTATTTCTGGAATATTCTATTTAGTATTTTCAGACCATGAATGACCTCCTGTAAGTGAAACAATGGAAACAGAAGCGCCAGAGAAGGGAAGATGACTGTACTTCTAAAGGCCCTTTCCCATCCCCCATGGAGACCCTCCAGGGCTCGTGGCTTCCCCAGGGCTCCTCTGCCTAGCTAGGAGAGGAGGAACATTCTGTCTGAGATGATGCACACCTCCCGTCAGCTCCTCGGCATGGCGCCTGGGTGCTGGAAAGGAAACACTGTCACAGGAAGAGCCACCAGACTGGGATTACAGTGTAAACCCTCCCTTTCTCACGGGGTGGCTGGGTCCAGTCTCTCATCTCCAATACAAGACAGAATTTGAAGACAACCTGTAGGCAAAAGTTAGCAGAGACATGAGACTTATTTGCCTGCCAAGTGAAGATGTGCACTCAAGGAGGAGGGCGGGCGTGCACAAGAGACAGCTGCCTCAGTGAGGTTCAAGACCACCCCGCCTTAGGATCTGGAGGCAGAGGGAGTGGTGTTGAGGTGGGTTTTCACTAAATAACCATAAGGGTCAGGGCTTGCGGACTCCCCCTTTCTTCTCTGTTTTCTTGAAATCTCAGACATCTCACGGTGTGAGTGCCTGATGGGAGTCGGCGTGTCAGCCACGATACTCTTATTATAATGACATGATCATCAGCTAAAGATCACCCTGCGGATGCAGCTGATACCTACTTTGGTTATTGCCTGGCTCTGATTTTAAGTTGCAAAACAGCAGAAGCTGTAGTTTTCTGCTGCATAAAGAGTGGAGTGGGAGGAGCGGAAGATGGCACAGGTGGGTGGCACTGCATCGCAGGTGAAGCTGCAGGGAGGGGCTGGGCACTTCAGTGCTTTGCTAGCTACTTCCCTGCCTTCATCTAGAAAAAGATGCATGAGGGAAAGAAAGAAGCTGCAGCCAAGTGTGGGTCCCCTGGCCACCAGTCAGGGATGGGAGCATTAGCTTGGCCCTGTATATGCTGTTGATGCAACAGAAAGAAAGCAGATGACAAGCAGTAGCTTCTGATTGAAGTGGGATGGGGTAACCCACTGTCGTGCTTGCACCTGCCACGCCCAACTGCATCAGCACCTTATTGCCCCCGAGGCAAATAACACCAGGCTTCACACGGGATGCTGGTGTCATGGTCGACAACGTTACCCACTATGCCACAATGTCTGCCTGTTTCCTATGTTTAACATATCACAGTATCAGTGATCTAATCCACCATCCCTTGGATGCACTGTGGCAACATTCAGGTTTAGCATCCTGACCGTGGCACTGGTGGCACACAAAGTCCAGGACAGGCAAATCCATGTAGGTGTAGGTGTCTGTGATTGATGGAAGGAGTCTCTCTGACCAGTAGCTGAGCAGAGAGGATGCTCTGTCCTCACCTTCCAGATCCCAAAGCTCATGCACAAACACCTTCCCAGGCTGCAGTTGACCAGCCCATGAGCACACAAATCAGAAGGCAGAAGCCAGGATCATGCCTGATGAGTTCAACCATCAGTAGGATGTTCACTGTCACACCTTAATGCTGCCTGTCTAGGCAGAGGAAAGGTGGGATGGTACATCCATGCCCCACCTTTACAGAGCTCAGGGTGAGAGCTGCCCTGGGACACCCACAGACGTGGCATGGTCAGCTCAGGAAGACAGACCATGGAAGGCCCCCCATACAGGCTGGGCTTTCAGAGAGGTGGGCATGTATCCTTGGCCTTGGCCACTTCTCACACTCAAAGCTTCAGGTACAGTGCAAGCCCCTTCTTGTCTTGATCTGTAAGGGCAGGGACTAAGAAGGCAGGGGGTGGCATGAACTATGAGAGTGAATACAGCTGATTGCCCAATGGCCCACTTCCAGCTCTGAGCTCAATCCAGCACTACTCTGTGGCTAAGAGTCAGTCTGGGGACTTCAATCTTGATGAGCTGTATGCCCTTGATCAAACCACTTAGTCTCACTCTGGTTCACTTTGCTCCCCTTCATAAAAGCAAGCATAAAACAACCCTTGGGCTGGTGGGTAGGGATTGAAGGAGGAGGTGTGGGGAACTCCGGGTCCTGAGCCTGGCACATGCAGGTGTGCTCAGCAACATCGGTGACCTTGATCTGAATCCAGCCAGCCCCAGCTCCGTTCTGAAGCAGTCAAGGGGGCCGGCACTGGGAAAACACAACATCATGCCGTGGCCCACCATAGCCCAGCATTAGAGCACTCCACAGCACTTTTCCTGGGCCCTTCTGCCAAGGGAGAGTGCCACTCCTCTGTCCTTGGCTCAGGAGAACACCCATCCTGAGGCCTATTGGCAGTTTACACAGACTTACCCACCTGACAGCAGGTCTCTGGGAAGATCTGGAGATGGGCCATTCCCTAGCCTGGGGACAGCAGAGGCTGGCACTGGAGGCCCTGGGTGGGGCAGGAGCCAGGAGATTCCTGCTTTCCATCTGGGAACAAGACCAGCTAACAGCCACAAAAACATTCCACACAGAGCAAGCCACTGAAGTCTGGCTTTATTTTTTTTTTAATGCTTTTCTTTTTTAGGTTGTCTGGGTGCAAATAGAATTCTTGCTCCTTTCCAATTGCTCTAGGGTGGGTACATTTCTGTGTGTGCATCTCAAACCAGCCTGCTCTCCACCACAGGGCTAAACCTCATTCCTTCCAGAGAGGCACAGGAGCCCAAGCCCCAGGGGACAGGGCCCTGTGCTCACCGCCCTGGAATCTGCCACGCCAACACAGCTGGATTCTGCTACTTTGGATGTCAACACTTCTGGAAGCAACAAGAGTGGCAACCACAGCTTCACCACAGCCCCAGAGAAGGCTGGCTGCTCCCCAAGCCTGGTCAGCCCTGGGGAGTAGGTAAGGGTCCCAGGGGCCAATGCCTGGGCCCCATGCTTGTCTGCAGCAGGGAGGCCCCCTCTGAATCTCGGCTCCTAGATCCACACACATTGAGGGCAGCCATGATTGTCACCATCTTGAGACCCAATGTGTGGCTGGTACTGTTAAGGCTGCTGAGCGCTGACATAACAGGTGTTGGCAGACCTCAAAAGCCAAAAACAACCTAAATATCTCCCACGAGGGGTTGGCTAGGTGCATGACACTGTGCAGGCAGGATGGCCACCTCCCCTGCTGTCGATAAAGCTGTAGGATTGGTAAGCATTTATGAACAAGCAGCTTGCACCCTCTTAAATCAAGTAGACTGAGTCCCCGTCTATGAGCCAGTGCTGATTTTTTTTCCTTCCACTTTTAGAATGCACTTGAGCACAGAAAACATGAGACATTGCACACAAAGTGCTTGGATGCAGGTACTTACTACAATTTAAAATAATGAACATGCACCCCTTTTGTAATAAGGTGGGAAGATATTTTATTACAAAAATTGAGGGCCCGATGCAGTGGTCTAGTGGCTAAAGTCCTCGCCTTGCATGCACTGGGATCCCATATGGACGCCGGTTCTAATTCAGGCAGCCCAGCTTCCCTTCCAGCTCCCTGCTTGTGGCCTGGGAAAGCAGTCAAGGACAGCCCAAAGCCTTGGGACCCTGTACCCGCATGGGAGACCCAGACAAGGCTTCTGGTTTCTGACTTTGGATCGACACAGTTCTGGTCATTGTGGCCACTTGGGGAGTGAATCAGCAGATGGAAGATCTTCCTCTCTCCCTTCCTCTCTGTACATCTGACTTTTCAATAAAAATAAATAAATAAATCTTAAAAAAAACTGACCACGGAAAACATGGAGCACCCAGCTGCCGTCTCCCTCTGGAAGGAGGGGGCTGGCTCCAGAGAGAGGGGATGCCGGGGCAGAGCGGCCAGAGCAACACACACAGCTCTGGCAACAGAGCAAGCCAGTTCCTTCCTTCCCAGCAGTGGCCATGCGAAGGCTGAGAGACAGCTTGCCAAGTGGCCACTTGAGTTCAAGTTCTGACACCCACCCCCACTACCTATGTGCTTGTGGCTCGGTCCCTTCCTGGTCCCCACCAGCCCCCTAACGACAGCCCATTCCTTGGGGGTACCAGAGATAGGGTTGGACAATAAACATGCTAAAGCCAACCATACAAGGCACCTAATACAATGCCTGGTGAACAGTCAGCCCTCAGGAAAAGGTAGCTCCCTAGAAGAACTTACCCTGGATGGAATCCTGCAATCTGAGGCACTTCCGGGAACAACTGTGCTGACAGCATACTGGAACACAGAGGGGCTCCAGGCCACATGGTCGCCCTGCTTTCTCCCATTCCCCAAGAGCTCCCTGAGGGCAGGGCTGGCCTTCATCTCAGATCCCCCTACCCAACCTTGCCCCTTCCCAGCCCTTCTGCAGCCGGGGCCCCCAAGAGTTTTCTCCTGGGCCAACTTGGGGTGGGGACAGACCCTGCAGTCTACCTGGAGTTGGAAGCAAAGCTGAATGTCCCTCTTCCCCTATGCCGCCCTCACAGGGCCCCCAGGCCAGACACTCTCCAATCCCACTGCCCACAGAGCTGAGAACCAGCCCAGGCTGCCTACCATGAGTGGCTGCAGCTGCATGATCAGCGCTGGCACCCTCGCTTTTCCTTGGGAACGAGGGGCTTTCTCTGTGTTATGCGGCCAGCTAAATCCAGTCCCAGTGCTGATCAAAGTTCCAGGCAGTGGGTGCTCCCTTCACGTGGCCCCAGCATTCCTGGAATGTCAACAAGGTCACAAGGCCCCAGAACATTACACAATGACCCTACACTGCTCCCATGCACAGACTTTTAGTGGGGTCAAAGCCCCACAGATGTCACCCTGAGCAGACTGGGAACCACACTTCACATCCCTTGAAAGTGAGGCCCAGGGGCTGGGAGTTGCACCTTGGCTAGTTGCAGATCACAGGTACCTGCTCAGACCCTAACTTGGCAAAGAACTCTCAGAGGGCTGTGGGTGTGTTTCCTGTGTTTTTAAACTTTGTTTATGAACCAACTCTCTAAATGCTTGCTGAGTTGAAAGGGAAGAAGTTATGGGAAAGTAAGTTTGGAACTAATATGGAGAGAAGTACTCGGCTACCCCAGGATGGAGGCAGGGCGCTGGGAGGGGATGATGTCAGTCTCTTTGAAGGGATGCAACCAGCTGCTACAGAGCAGGGAAGAGTGTGAGTGTGTGTAAGAGGGTGTGTGCATGCAAGAATGTGTGTGTCAGTGTGTAAGAGAATGGGTGTGTAGGTGAGGATGTGTGTGTATCTATGTGTAAGCATGTACAAGCGGGCTTGGTATGTGTGAGCATGAGGGTGGACTTGGTGGGGGGCATGTGCATGTATGTGTGGATGGCAGATGGAAGTGAACTTGGTGAGCGTGGGAAAGCGTGAGCATGTGAGTGCAGGACACACGCATCTGGTGTGTGTGGGGAGAGTGGCTCGACCTGAGGAGTGTGGGGAAGTGTGAACAGGCAGGCATGCAGTACAAAGGGATGACTTAAACAAGCAATCCAAGATAGTTTTCAACTACAGGAGCCTATCATTCGAAGTAGTCTGGTGATTTTTCATAGTATTGAAGTTCATCTTGTTCTGTCTATGAGCCAGTTAAGGTGTCTTCTTTGTTTTTCGTTTTCGCTCATTTGTTTGTTTTTACATCAGCCACACAGCTGCAAGGCCTTACGAAAGGGAGCAAGGGAGCATTTAGCGAAGATACGTCATGGACCCACACTTGGCCAGGGCAGGAGAGGTACCCGCGATGGTGTGCCAGCCCCAAGGAAGAGATGGCAGCCTGAGGAGTGGATTGGAGAAGCTGGCACCCAGAGAATGCTGGCCAGGCTAGGCAGTAGCAGCAGGGCCCCATGATCTGAGCAGGAGCTTAAGACCTGGACACAGCATATCTGCCTGTCAGTCTGCTGTGGACATGCTTTTTTACTGGAACCAAGCCTCTGTATTCATGTGCGTGCAGTGAGGACCACTGAGCGACAGGGATGGGCTGTGCTGTGTGCATGTGTGCGCGCGCATGCACTTGAGATGCACAGGTACCTTGTTGGAAAGCCCCCTGGGCACATATGCGCATATGTTGCAGGAGCTTTGTATTAGAGGTTCTGGGGACAGTCCAGGATAGAACAAGGAAGACTCTACCTGTTTCTCCATTATCCAAATCAGGGCCTCAGAGTCACCGGCCCCGAGTACCAAGTACCGGGAGGAGTCCAAAGCTGGATGTGTGCACGGTGGCACTCCTGACCTCATCCAGGGTGTGCAGGCACAGGCCTGTCTGTGAGCAAGTGTGTGAGTGTGCAGGTGTTGACCGAGTGCTGAGGGAACGCCACTGCCTTTTAGGTGGCATAGAAGAAACTCCGGCATAGGAGGCTGCAGGCCTGGGCCGAAGACTAGCTCAGCCACTAGTTCACTTCCTGTCTTGAGCTTACCCGTTTCACTTGTGAACTGGGTTGAACCTAACTAGAATGTGCCTTCACTTAGCCACAGAGGCCTATAGTTATCATGTTTGTTTTCTTGTAGGTTCCCACTGACTTTCCACAGCCCATTCTCAGCCCAGAATCTTTACCCATGGGGCAAGCAAAATGCTGGTGTGTGATCCTCCAGCCAGGGCACTGGGAGACACCTCATGTCCTGCATATAGCATTTATTGTTGATTCCAGACACCCAATGTATTACAAGCAGTAGCCAGCAAAAGACAGACCCTCTCCCCAGGTCCTGCCCACCAGGGCTCACAGTCTAAACAATCCTGACAAGGCCAGAAAGCTCTAAATGTATCGCCAGGTACCTGGGGACATTTGCAATGATACTCTAAGCAAGGTGAGCGAGAGTTACATCAAAAGGCAATGAGTTGGGGACAATAAGCTCCTCCAGAAAGAAGCACCTGGAGCACTGGACTGTCCTTCCATCCACACCACCACTGACCATGCAAAGTCTGAACATGGTTCTGACTGTGGGACTCAGGGACTGAATCTTAGGGTGTTTTACAGCTAAAAGTGAGGAGACATCCCGCACTGTTGACCCACTTCAGCTGCCTTGTGAGGATCCGCTGTCCCATGAGCTTCCTCAGTTAGGTGGTGGATTCCTGACACCATGACAGCTGAAAGGCTATGGAAGTTCTGTGGTTATCCACGGAAAGTTCAAGAACCCTGTTGTGTCTCTAAATCCAAAAGAGTCACAGGTATACACAACCCTTACAGATGCCGTGGAAGGGGCCAGCTTCTCTGTCACGGGTGGGTGTCCCTGAGTTCATCTCTCCCTGCATTCATAATGTTCTTCATCCACACGGTACCAAGGACATTCCAATAACGGAGGCCGATGGGAAGGGCAGGAAGGAGGCTTGTGTTGCTTAGGACGAATGACAAAAGCCTATGAATCAGGAGCCCTGCAGAAGGTTCCACAGAGAAGGCAGAGCCACAGCCTACCGAGTCCCAAGCAGAAGGAGCAGTTTCCTGCCCTGCTACAGGAAGAAGGTCCCTGTCACAGGGCTGTTCTAAGAGCTGAAGGGGAGATGCATGTCCATATGCTGATGGCTCCCTAGGCACAGTAGGCACTTAAAAAAAATTACTGGTTCAAATGGACTTTTGTTCTCTTTTCTCCCTCTCTTTGCTACCGTGAAGGCTGCTGGTGACTGGCAAGGGCGCCCAGATGGTTCAGCAAGGGTAGGAAGCTGTTTTTCTGCCAAGGGTTATTTGGATATTGAATAACAAACATCATCCCTGGGCCATACAAAGTTATCAACTTAAAAACTAGCCTGCCACAGAAGTATTGAATTTCAAGTTCCATGCCTGGGAAGAAGAGTTCCCCCAAATCCCCCCACAAGGTGCTGCTAGGCAGGGTCACCTGAAGACACTTGTCCTCGAGCCAGCCTTTGGACCAGAGAGAAACATCTTCCAACGTCATGGCCAATGTCACAGACCCTCGGGGGTTCGGCATGTTTGGCTGAGTGCCCCGATGGAGAAGGAATCTCACCTCTCTCTAGCCTTGGCCCAGGTGGACCCATTCTGGAGCTGACTCCTAGGGGCTGCTGACAATTCTGAACATGAGGCGTGTGGAGGCTAACTGTGCCTGGAGACAAGCAGACCCCACTTCCCTCCACTTCCCTCCAGCCCCAGGACCCCCAGGACCATCAGAGCAGGTCACTGCCAGTACAGTGAGACTCCTATCCATTTTCAGGCTCCCTTCTGGATACGGGCAAGCCACAGTCATCGCCACCAGTGGCTATGTGGATTCTGAAAATGCCTTTGGAGACCCAGATTTGCCTGGGACAGATGGATATCTTTTGACACAGACCCCCCCCTCTCTTTTCAGATTCCCTGGGACAGAAAGTGAAATGCTACAAGGTATATGTTGATATTTACAAACATCCCTTCCAGGTTCCTTTCTATTGGTGGGTGGGAGCAGAAACCTGGTCATCCCATCAGCCTTGTGCTGCCAAAACCCCACCCCCACTCTTGCTCTAGGAGACTTCTTACTTGTTCTGTGGGGCAAAGGGGACAGGGGAGGGTGCATCAGGATTGAGGGTGGGTGTCCACATCCTTGCAGAGTCAGCTAAACCCCTCCCCTGGGCAGACGCAGAGCCCTAAAATTCTTCATTTCACAGCTTTTATTTACATCTCAGCTGGTGGACCCATTATCCAGAGAAAGCCATGTGTTGCTATGAGCATAATTTCTTTAACAGTGAGCAAATACAGGTATAACAGAAGGTACAGCCCAAGTGGGTTTTGATGCAATTTTAACTCAAGAAAGAGAATAACCCTTGACCGAACAACTCAATTCTTAGAATCAGGGAGGAAAAAGAGCTGTAGAGTCCACAGGCCCCGTGCCACCACTGGTTGCCGTGCCTGCTGTCTGCTGTATGGGAGCATGCTGACTGGTAGCTGCCAGCTGACTAACGCAGATAGAGAATTTTCCACAACATCAGGGGGATCGCTAGATTCCATTACATTTGGCTGTTCAATTAAAGGATCTCATCTCAGAGCTATTTCACTTTCCCCAAAAGCAGAATGAAAATTAAAAACAGATATGGGCCTAGGATGCCCATAAAAGGGCCTCCTTGTGCAGCCAACAGTCTGTGGGCAGGGCAGAGGGCGTGGTGACCTGGCCAAGCCTGGGTCTCTGAGAGACTCAAGATTGAATCAAAGTTTCTGCCCAGGCCAGATCTCCTGGCTGTCCTCCTCTATCCAGGGCAGCTGGGTCTTGGTGAGGGATGGTCTTGACCACAGAGGGAGCAGACATAGAGAGGGACGAGGTTGTAGGTGGATGGGTGCCATCTCTGGAAGCCCCAATGTCCTGATGATGGGGACAAAGGTGACACTTTGTAGAAGCTGACTACACAGGTATGAGGTGTGTAGACGCTCACCAGACTACACACTTCGATACTCTGGCCTGTCACCATGTTTATTTTTCTCCTATTAGAAAGCAGACAAGTAGATCCACCCTGGGCACTGGGTTACCTTAAGCTGGTATCATATACCCATAAGCTGGTATCTACACGATTTTATTGCTTACAAAGCTAACACATCACAGTTCACAAACAGCATTCTCTAAAAGGCTGAACTTGCTGCCCAGGTCCCCTTCTTCCTCTCCCAGGGGCAGCTGATGACCACCCCACCCTTAGGACCCAGAAGCAGGATTCTCCTGCTCTCTTCCCAGTGTCATCAAAGCCAGGGCAGCTGCATGGCATCAAGCTCCCGGAGAAGGAGGGGACTCTATCTGCCTTCAGCAGCTGAAAACTAATGGAGGAGCTTTCAAATGAAGGGTCAGGGTCAAGCTGTGGCACAAAGGAGAGGAGCTACAAAAGGAGATCATCGTATGAGACTCAGGAGAGGGGCTAACCCCAAAGAGCGCTGTTCATGCCCCAAGAGGGAGCAGGCTTCATAAAAACTGCATCTACAGAGGCCAGAAGGGGTGTGGGCACAGGGCAGACTGGCCTTGGAGAAGGAGGTGGTGAGGATTCAGGGGAGGACCCCTTTATGGGAAGCCCAAGGATAGTAAGTGTTGCCATGGCCAGTTGGAGTTGCCTGCTGGGAAGAGGGTCCCACACCACCTGCTTGCTCTCCAGGAAGATCAGAAACAGGTGGAGGCAACTTTCGGCAAGGGATGGCTCTATGGACCCAGGAGTGGAGGCAGAAGGATGAGTGTACCAGGCCCCGTGGCCCTTCCCAGTCCCCAGCCCCGCTTCTAGCCTGCCTCTCTAACACTCATTGGGAGCCTTCATCTGCATCAGGACCGCCTGGCTCCTCTTCTTACAACAGCAACAGCAGATGCATGCAGCTAGGGAGCAAGCCAAGGCAATGACACCAATCACAATGGCAGCGATGGCCAGGCCGCTCTGGGCCCGGGTCATGCCCCATGTGCCACGGTCATCAATGGCCCCAATGGTGGTCAGGTCAGTGTAGTCTTCCATGGGGCTGGTGAAATCTGTGGTGGAGGAGATGAATGTGGTATCAGAATAGCCAGGTGTGTCAGGATAGTAGCGGGGTGTGTCAGGGTACCTTGGCGTTTCTGCATAGCTGGGTACCTCCGGGATGGCCGGGGCCTGGACACTGGGGGCAGTGGTATTGACGTTGATAATGATGATGGATTGGCCTTGGACGTTAGCTGGGCTAGAGCATACCGGGAGGGTGTCCGTTCCCAACCTGGGCCGGTTGAGCAAGAGCCAGTTGCGGAGTGGCAGGATGCCCGAGTCGCACCTCCAGGGGTTATCATAGAGCCTCAGCTCACACAGTTTCCCCAGGTGATCGAAGATGCCCATGGGCAGGTTCTCCAGCTGGTTGTTCTGCAGCTGGATGGTCATGAGGCCGTTGACATTGGCAAAGATGTTGCCCGGGAGCTGGCGGAGGCGGTTGTTCTGCAGCGAGATGTTCTGCAGGTTGGCCAGCATGCGGAAGACGTTGCCATCCAGGTCCTGCAGTGCGTTGGTATGCAGGGACAGCTCCCGCAGCTCTGAGAGCCCATTGAAAGCACCCGGCGAGATGAAGCTGATCTGGTTGCGGCTGAGAACCAGGACCTGCAGCAGGCGGAGGTTGCTGAAGACATTGTCGGGGATGGAAGTGATATGGTTGTCATAGAGCCAGAGTTCCCGGAGGTTGTGCATGGGCCCGAAGATGCCTGGGGACAGCTCCTTCAGTGAATTTCCAAAGAGTGTGAGGCGATTGAGCTGGGGCAGCTGCATGAAGATGCCCGGGGGCAGCTGGGAGATGTGGTTGTTGGACAGGTAGAGCCGCTGCAAGTTGTGGTTGTTGTGGAAGAGGCCGGGGGACAGCGTTGCAATCTGGTTCTGTTGCAGGGCCAGCTCCTGCAGGTTACCGAGGCTGTCAAATGTGCCCATGGGGATGTCCGAGAGCCTGTTCTCATACAGCCGGAGCACCTGAAGGTTGCCCAAGTGCTGGAAGACCCTGGGCGAGAGGTGGGTGAGGCTGTTCTTGCCCAGGTTGAGCTTGGTGAGCCCCACCAAATGGTCAAAGACGCCATCAGGGACGTATTCCAGGTGGTTCCCATGCAGCTGCAGCTCCTTCAGGTTGCTGAACTGGGAGAAGTGGGCCGGCTGGATCTGCACCAGCTGGTTGCTGGACAGGAGCAGAGACTCGAGGTTGTCTAGGCCCTGGAAGAGGCCGATGGGCAGAACCTGAAGCTTGTTGTTGGCGAGGCTGAGGTAGCGCAGTGAGCCCAGGTTGCGGAAGGCCCCTGGCATGATATGCGACAACTCATTCTTCTCAATCCTCAGGGCAATGAGGGCCGAGATATTGATGAACGGGGACTCAGTGAGTTCTGTGATGTGTGTGTTGAGGATCTGCAGGCTCATGGCATTCCAAGGAAGAGGGGTGGGCACCGCCACGATGCGAGCCCCTGTGCACTCCACCTGAGAGGCTCTGGAGCAGGTGCACTCACTAGGGCAGCCATAGTAGCCCAGTACTGCAGTCCAGGCTTGGCAGCCCACCAGCAAAAGGAGGTACTGTTTCAGCAGCATGGCCTCTGCAAGGGGAGACAAGTGCACGTTAGCCAAGGTCACAGCACTGACCCCACCACTGGCCTGACGCCAGTGCCAACATTGCTGCCAATCTTGACTTGGCTTCAAGTCTCATTGTCTCATACACAACTCATGTTCCTTCTGCCATGGCCAGCGAGCCTCTTTGTCCCCCATCTCAGGTCTTCCCATGTCACAGCTATATCCATGTAGTTTCCCTCACCTGGAGAACTCTTGCTCCCTATGCAAATCTTTCCCATACATTTAGGTCTAGCTCAAGTGCAGCAGTCTGCAAGGGACCTTCTCAGATCCCACCAGTCAGAATTAGTTACCACACCATGTGGGTGGTCTTCCCAACTTCCATGAGTATCCATGCAATGATGGGGCATCTGTCGTATCCCTGTTAGTCGTCTTCCCTAGTCAATAAATTTTACTTATTGCACCGCAGCAGAGCAAGTTAAACTATCCCTTGCAGTGCTGGCATCCATGTGGGTTCAAGTCCCAGCTGCTCCACTTCCAGCAAGTTCTCTGCTCATGTGCCTGGGAAGGCAGCAGAGAAATGCCCAACTACTTGGACTCCTGGAACCCACATGGGAGGCTCAGAAGCAGCTCCTGACCTAGCCCTGTCTCTCCTCCGCTCCCCATTAAATCTGCTTCTCAAATACATTAAAAAAATAAATCTTAAAAAAGAAATAAGCTCTTTGAGAACAATGAGTTCATTGTGCATCCCTAAAGATTCCACAAGGCAGGAAACTGGTCTTACCCATCTCAGTGTCCTTCACAGCACCGGCATACACTAGTTGAATCTGGCCTTGCCAGGTGGAACAGATAGAAAATGAGAACCCATAAATATAACCTGAACTTGGGGGGCACTTTAAGGCTGTTAACAGGGTGGCTTCCTAGGAGAGGGCTTGGGCAGTCAGCAGTCAGGACTGTAATGCTCAGCTGCTGAAAAGACAAAGAGAAGCAGGCTCCTCCCCACCCCCAGCTCCGCCTGCCCCACCCGGCACCACAACCAACAGGCACCACAACCAACAACCTGTCCCTGTGTTAACCCTTTCACATGCATGCACTTCGTCCAGATTGCCTTCAGAGCGCCTTCCTGCAGACTCCACATCCTGTCTGGGCAGCTGAAGCTGCTCTGTTTCAACTGATGCCCACAGTCTGCTTTCTGGGTAAAAGTCCCCGTGTCCACAGAGAAACACTGGGTATCCTTAATAAACCCCAGAAACCCTAGCCTGCACTTAGAGCTGGAAGGCTATGGGTCCAGATGGTCCCCAAGGCACAGAGCTGACCTGGAAATGAAGCCAGACTCGCTCGCTGTTCATGCTGGAAGTCATGATGACCATGAGAAGAGTCCAGCAGCAGGCAGGGTATGTGCCATACTCACATGAGACATGGCTACACACTAAGAATCAAGGACCACTGTCTGACCTTGACTAGGTCTCAAGTTTGACCTCAGTGAAGCTGGAGGCTTCCAAGCTTCGGCTTTCTTGGCACTGTTGTAAAAAGCAGATGGGAGAAGGTATATGGGGCATTGTGAAGAGAGCCATGCCAATAAACAAAGATGTGCCACCGCTCGGAGGGCAGGAGGCCTTGAGAAGCTTCACAGTTGGCCTGCTTTGGTAAGGGACTGAGGACTTCCGATTTTAATGTTGGAGCAGCTGCAACTTCTGCCCAGGGTTCAAAGGCGCCTACAGCTCCTGAGGGTTAAGGGATTACTGATGGCCCTACACTCCTCTCATTTTATGGGCTATAGGAAGCAGGGCCACCCTGGTCTCCAGGCTCCCAGCTGAGCACACAGAGCATTCACGGGGTGTGTCTCCTTTGATGAGCCCAAGTTCTGAGTCACAGACAGGAGTCTGAGATGATGGTGTGGCGGCTGTCCTCGGGCACAGCGCAGAAGCTATTTCTCTGACCTCTCCTTGCGGCCGTGAACTTGTGCAGTCTGCAGCCTGGCCCATAACCTTCTAAACCCCCTCGACTTCCCTCTCTGGCATCACCCCTGTGTGCTCCTCCCCTGCCTCTCAATAAGCTTTTACCCTGAGAGGAAAACTCAAGCTCATCTCCCACCCACATAGACCTTGATTTTTACAATCCACCCAAGCCCTGATCTTCTCCACTTCTGCATCAGGGACTAGACTGACCTTGCAGAACTGTAGAAGAAGAGCGCTTTGGCCAACAGAATCTATATAAAAGGAATTGAGCCAGAATCCCCTCTTAAAAATGTATGATCTTGGAGTCCAGCGCAGTAGCCTAGTGACTAACGTCCTTGCTTTGCATGCACCGGGATCCTATATGCGCAGTGGTTCTAATCCCAGCACCCCAGCTTCCCATTCACTTCCCTGCTTGTGGCCTGGGAAAGCAGTCAAGGATGGCCCAAAGCCTTGGGACCTTGTACCCTCATGGGAGACCCAAAGGAGGCTTCTGGCTTCGGATCAGCTCAGCTCCCATCATTGCGGCCACTTGGGGAGTGAACCAACAGATGGAAGATCTTCCTTTCTGTCTCTCCTTTTCTCTGTATATCTGACTTTCCAATATAAGTAAAATAAATCTTTAAAAATATATATGAATTTGTAGAAATGTCAGGTCCAGAACTTGAAGGCAGAAAAGAAATTTTCTAAGCAGGGAGCACAGAAAAAGTGGCTCAACAGGCCTGATGTAATGGCCTAGTGGCTAAAGTCCTCACCTTGCACACCTTGCCAGGATCCCATATGGGCGCTGGTTCTAATCCTGGTGATCCTGCTTCCCATTTAGCTCCCTGCTTGTGGCCTGGAGAACAGCCCAAAGCCTTGGGACCCTGCACCCATGTGGGCAACCCAGAAGAAGCTCTGGGCTCCTGGCTTCGGATCAACATAGCTCTAGGCATTGCGGCCGCTTGGGGCATGAACCATCGGCCAGAAGATCTTCCTCTCTGTCTCTTTTTCTATCTGCCTTTCAAATAAAAACAAATAAATCTCTTCTTTCAAAAATGGTTCAACATCTCTCCCAGGAAAAAAAATGGTATGTTCTGTAGACAATGACAAAGGAAGCCGCCCCAAAAGCGATAGTGGCCAAGTGAGCAGCACAGCACTGAAGCTGGAACTAGGCATGTGATATCTCACTTGCCTACAGAGCTGTACCCAGTTCCACTCTGAACTTCAAGGAGGCCAATGGCAAGCTGGGTCCTGGAAACACTTCAAGAGGATGGCAAGGGCACCCAGAGGGGCGCTATAGGCGAACACCCAGAGGAAGAAAAGATTTGAGGAGAACCTGAAGGGGTGCTCCCAATGGGGCTGCAGAATCCATAACTGGCGTGGAGCAGGGATACGGCAGCCAATCTCAGTTTAGAGACCTCTCCCAAAATCAGAGTGGACAACTGCAGGAAGATAGCAGGCTCCTGTTGCTGAACATGGGAAACCTCTCTGTGAGGAAGCATGAGTGAAGACCTGTGCCTCATGGGTGCTGCACTAGAAGACAGCCAATGATAAGAGCTCTACCTACCAGGACAATTATGCCTGTACTGCCAGGGCTCTGTGTGGACAGGTGCAGGGGGCTGGCTGTGCCTCATTACACATATGTAGACGTATCCCAAAATGGGCTTACAAAATGTAAAGGTCTGACTGTACCTTCTGATGGGCTTACTAGCACTTCGAAAAGAAATCTGAGAGACAGATGGATGAGAAAGTTCCTACTCACTGGTTAATTCCCCCATTCGCCCACAATGATGGGAGTTGGGCCAGTGCCAGGAGCCAGTAATTCCATCCAGATCTCCTATGTGGGTGGCGGGAACCCAGCTGCATGAGCCATCACCTATTGCCTTGTACAGCACACAGCGGCAGGAGGTTGGAATTGGGAATGCAGCCAGAATGCAAATGAACCCAGTCTGTCGTGGGGTGCAGGTGTCTTCGCTCAAGCATCAGCCCAACCTGTTTACTGTGCATTCCTGTGCCCAGAATACTTTCAAAAGCATTGGAAACTTGATTAAGTGCCCATTCCCTGACAAGCCCAGGGCAGTCTCTGCTGTGCTCCCTGCCTATGAGTAAGGGCAGTCTGGTGCCTCCTGTGGAGGACCCCTCACAGCCTTGATGGAGGAGAGGAGCAATGCCTCCCCAGCAGTGGTATGTTGGAGGGGGTGGCGACACTCCACAGCAAACATGACAAGAATTTGCAGATGGTCTTTTTTATCCATCCTCAGGCTGCAGCACCCATGGCAGCACCACATGCCATCATTTTTCTGTCTTCAGTGCTGGCTCAGGTGCAGCTGGCACCGACTGTCAAGTAGGACCTCCGTGGTGCAGGGCCCAGCGGTGGCAGCGGTGGCAGCGGTGGCAGCGGTGGCACTAGTGAGAGGCTGCAGCATGTTGAGCCCCTGGATTCCCACCACATGCTGCAGGTGTGTGCACAGCCCATGGCCTCAGGGAGCCTCCTTGCACAGTGACCTAATAGCCCACGCTGCACCATGCTGCTGGCCAGCTGTGGCCCATGCACTTACAGGTGCACACAGCCGCCCTCATTACCCTTCCCTCCCTCAGGCAGCAGGTGTGTCCTCAGGCACAGCAGTGACTCGATCCAGCCCTGGTCAGCCCCTGGGGAGAGGGAATGGCCTGGCGTCCATGGCTGGCCCATGAAGTCAGCGAGTCGGGCAGGCAGAGGGACAGCCAGCTCACCTGGGCACTGACGCGGCCCCTCCCCTGGAGTGGAAGCGCCTGCAGCGGAGCAGCAGAAACACCCTGTGACTCAGCGGCAAACACACAATTAGCCCTGGAGTCCTGCAGGGGAAGGGAGCCCCTTTTGATGGGCAAGTCAGGACTTTAAGTCTCTGTTCTCTGGAACCTGGAAGGAGACCCCTTTGCATTTCAACACCCTGCTCCCTGCACCACTGAGAATATTGCAACATAGGAAATGCTACTGGCCAGCACAACCAGCTACAGAACTGAGTTTGTAACAGCTCTCAGTTTCCCCAGCCATAGACTCAGACTGAGGCTCCTTTGCAGCCTGAGTGGAAGCAGACTGGTAGGTCTGATCTGGAG